CTTTCTATTTCTCAAATTTGTGCTGGCTTTTCTGGTCCTTTACTTATTTTGGGTGATTTTAATGCGGTTCTTGGCATCCATGAGAAAACATGGGGTATTCTACCTCATTGAATAGCATGTGAGAAGTTTCAAGCTCTGGTGGATAAGTGTTGTTTCGTTTCGATGTTAAGGGATCTCCTTTCACTTGGACTAATGGGTATGGCATATCATTTCATTTTGAAATGTTATTAGATCGGTGATTTTGTTCTCTTGCATGGCTGTATGCATGGCTTATCACCAATTGCTCTACTTTGGTTCGTCATTCTTCAGACCATAATCCTCTTTTAGTTTCTTATCAGAAATTTGCAGCTCAAGGTCCTACTCCTTTCACTTTCATCGCGTGTGGTTAGACCATCCTTATTTTATTATTTTGATTAAAATTTCACGGCAATCTATTCAAGTTTATAGGTGTCCTATATTTATTCTTCAACAAAAGCTTACGTTGTTCAAACTTATTCTAAAACTTTGGAATGCTAATGTCTTTGGAAATGTCACTGAGGGTTTTACTAATGAACGTTATGGGCCTGAATTACAAGCTCATTCTAATTTATCACATGCACTGTTAGTTCAAAGAAAATTTATAGCTGGATAAAACTCGATCAGATTGATTTAAGTTGAAGCTTGCAAGCTTATCAAATAAAATGTGGTAAGCTCGTCTTTCAAGTTGGAAAGGTAAACTTCTCTTAATGGATAGACAACTCCAATTGGTGCAATGTGTTTATCAAAGCTTGTTTCTCCATAGCTTCTCAGTTTATCAATGGCCCATTTGCCTTTTAAAGCATTTTTCTGCTTGTGCGTGGAATTTTATTTGGTCAGAGGACTTGGCTTCACGAAAGCTAGTAACTATTGATTGGAGTATGATGTGTGGACCTTAGCATGAAAGTGGCCTTGGTCTTCGTGATTTGATTACTTTGAACTTGACGGCTTTGATTAGTTTTGGTTGTGATGCTTTACAATCCTCTTCTTTGTGGGGTTCATTCGTTCGTCAACATTTTTCTCTTGCACCTTATAAAAAACAAGATACCTTTTTATGGTCTTCTATGTGACACAAGTTGAAGCGTGCTTTGCATATTTTGAATAATAATAGTCATTGGGTTATTGGTGATGAGAAGTCAGTTTCCTTTTGGTTTGACAAATGGTTGGATAGCCCGATTATTGGTTCTTCATTATCTTCGATCATGCACCTATAGTTCTTCCTAGGGTTTCAAATGTTATTGAAGCTCAAAGTTGGTCTTTGCCAGATTATTGTGTAGATTTATTCTGTAGTAGAGTAGATTCTACATTTACCTTTGCTGTTAAATAAAAAGGATGACAAATTGATCTGAAAGCCTACATCTACTGAGAAATTTTCCTTTTCTTCTGCCTATCATCTTATTCGACGAAAACATAGTGATTGTGCTTGGGCAAAGGTTATTTGGTGACATTTTATCCCACCTCAACTGTCTATTTTGGCATGGCGGCTTTTTCATGATAAACTTCCTACCGAATGTGCACTACAACGACGTGATATTTCTTTAGCGTCCATTTGTTCTTTTTGTCATAATTCTGAGGAATCTACTATTCATCTTTTCTTCAGTTGTCGGATATCTTAGCATACCAACTTGGTACCTCTTTGTCTTTTTTCATATTCTCTGGTTTCTTTTTGGGATGCCTACATACATAAGTCTTTTTTCCAATAGTAGATTTTGCGGGTCTTTATACTATTTTGGATATTTGGAAAGCTCGAAGTAAGTTTATTTTTTGCATGTCCATCAATTATGGGATCCTTCATGGTGGGAAATTTATACCTGGTTATTCCCAAGGTTTTGACACTCGTATCATTTCTTCTTTGGGGATCCAACCTATCTCTCGCAAGGTGCCAACTATTCTTCATGTGCTTTGGTCTTCTCCCTGGTTTCCTTGGATTAAACTTAATACAGATGATTTGTCCAAAAGAGATCCTGGTCCTACTACTTGTAGAGGAGTTTTTAGGGATTGCCATGGTCAATTTCTTGGTGGCTTTTACCAAGGGATTGGTCATTGCAACTCTTTCTTTGCAGAATTATCAACAATTATTATTGGTGTAGAGTTTACATATCAGCAGGGTTGGCATTGCCTTTAGATGGAAAGTGACTATTCTAGTGTCATTTCTGCTCTCCAATTAACTGATTTTGATCCTCCTTGGCCTCTTTGTAAGCAATGGTCTATTTGTTTGGACCGCATTCGGAAGATGACTTTCTATGCCTCTCACACATGTCGCCCAAGAAATATTGTTGCGGACAATTTTGCTAACGTGGGCTTGTCTTCACCAACTTTAATATGGCATGATTCCCCTCCGTTGGCGGCTCGTGCTGCTTTGTTTTCAGACTATGGTGGCTTTCCTGGCTACTGCTTCATAAATTATTTTGCATATCGGCATACATGTTTGACTCACTTTCTTGGTTTTTTTTTTCTTAACCTTGTGATGTTGCTTAATTTGTTTTGCAGGTTTAGTCTTTTAGGTTTGGTTTTAGAGGGGATAGGTTTCATGTCCCCCCTTTTTTCCTTGTATTTTAATTGTTTGTGTTTCTAGAAGGGTAAGGTTTATGCCCCCCTTCTTTGTCATGTATTTTTATCCATTTTTCTTATATTATGAGGGGTTAGGTTTATGTCCCCCCCATATTAGGTGTAACTTCTTTTTGATATCAATAAAATTCCCCTCATATCATCGAGGTTTTATAAAAAAACAAAAAAAAAAATTAGATAAAATGTGGTTATTGATATCTATGTTACATTACACATGCATAAGCATCACAAAGCAAGAAAAATTGTGTTCAAGTGTTTGGTGGTGTTGAGTTGTGTCTAAAGTGTGGAGTTGTGTATTTATTCAATCTTGAATCCTGTATTTGTCAGGTGTAGGGGAAAGGGCTTGAGTATACAATTGGACGTTGGGGAAAGTACCTATATATAAAGTGGAAATTATGAATTAAATTATGAAAATTAGGCTTAAGGGATGAACGGCAGTTGACTTACATTCTAAGGTATTCGGAGCAAAGTGACTTAAGCATGGTATGAGATGTGCAGGCTTGGGAGCCTTAGGTTTGTGTTAGCGAGATTAGAGGGGAGTGAGTACATTCATCCATCTCATTTGCATATATTAATTTTATGCATTTGCAAGAATTACTCATTTCAATTATTATTTTGTTAGTACTTTCACTTGTGAAGTAATTTGTGCCCTACTGTAATTCCGTTGTGTATTCGATAATTTTTATTTGGTAAATTCAAGCATTTATTATGTAAAAGTTATTAACCAGTGTTGTCTGGTGTACTTTGTTTTAGTTACAATAATATCAATTTTCATTCTTTCCAACCATGTGTTGGTTATATAATTTATTTATATAGCTAAGATATGGCTCACATCCTAACTCGTGAATAGTCCTTATTCATGGGTTGTTCACGAGTTAGGGTGTGATATAGATTTTCCAATTGTTGATGGGCTTGGTATTCCACCAGCATTATGCAAGACTTTACGAGCTAAATTCTTTACTATATTGTAGATGGTTGTTGGACTCCCCACCTATTCTACATTCATGGCCAGCCCTCATTTGGAATGATATTTCTTCTACTGGACTTCCTTCAGTGTCTAGGATTGATGACAAATTAATTGGTTTGGATGTCTACTTCTAATTGTGATATTTCTTTATCTTTTACTTATGATATTTAAGTGTAGTAAACGGACCAGGATCCTCTCCTGAGCTAAGGATGAGGATCCTCCTCATCAAGAGATGTAGGTCGTTGGATGAAAATCCAATGGCTACAATTATTATAACTTTAAAGGGACCTCCCTGTTTGTAGCCGTTGATTTTCATCCAACGGCCCACACTGATTGATGAGGAGGATCCTCATCCTTAGCTCAGGAGAGGATCCTGGTCCGTAGTAAACAACCAGCAGTTCAATAGGATCAATGGGTTTGGCACTCTTGATTTCATCCTTGTAATTATGTTATACTGTGGAAGTATTTAATGGTAAGATCTTAACTGACAATCTCATGTGGTGAATAGGTTTTTCTATAGTGTCTATGTACTCTCTTTGTTGTGAACGTATGAAAACTAGTTTGCATATTTTCTTTGTGTACTCTTGTGCACGTCAAATTTGATCTACTGTTTTGGACTTATTTAGAGTTCAATATATTTTTCAAGATATTTTTAGCTTTTTCTCCTTTACAAAATAGTTGGTGCCGAAGTAAAGCTACTTTGTTGGATTTGGTTTTTATTCTATTAAGCATGCTTGCGACGCTCTTCATTGTCAAACGGAGGTCGCTTCCATTAATTTTGTTGTACGATCTATTAAATTCCAACTATTTGAAAATTATTCTCTCTAATCTGGCTTTATGAAGAATTTTGTGGACGAGCTTTGCATTATTCATCTATTGGCGTTCATAGACATTATGCTAAGGCTTAAAAAATATCGAGGTATTGTGTCGCCTTCCCTCTCATTCTTGGATCAAAGTAAATATTGACGGCGATGCAAGAGGTTCCCCTAATTGGCTGCATTTGGTGGTATCTTTCGGGATTTTATGAGCCATTCTCTTGGTTATGTTTTGGGTTCAATATGTTTGTCCTCTTCTTTGGATGCCGAATTACACGATGTTATTCATGTTGTATCCTTAGCTTGGGATATAGATAAGCATTCATTATGGATTGAGTGTGATTCCTCACTAGTTGTTCACCTTCTTTGACACCAGTCTCATGGAGGATTTTGTGCTTATAGTCAGCCTGTTTATATTTGTCTAAAGAAAAATGTTGGCATGTTTGAATATATTTTTTTTTTTAATTTCTCTTCTTAGCATATCAACGTGATGGTGAAAAACTCATGTATGATTCACAACAAGCACAGTCAAACCTTAAGGACTATGACCACAGATTATAGTTACTCCTTGTAAACTTAGGAAACATTCACAGATGGTTTCATCTCTGCCTTGTTCATGCAAACATAGTTCAACAATGGCAGTTAGCTCAAAGCGTTAAACTTACTTTCTTGTGAAAGTTCAAACATGTCATCCCATCATTGCTATTGCATGAAACAGAAGAGAAAAATAATAGGTGTTTGCTTTTTCTTGTGTGAGGAAAAGGTGTCAACCTAAATATAAATATTATGGAGCATCATCCGAAAGCTTGAATGATAAGTGATTTTATATGAGCTGAGAAACCAGTGATGGGGAAACACTGCATGGACATCGCCTAACTAATCCAGCACTTACCAGTTTTCTACATCGCAGTCACAAGTTAATACAGATTGCAGTTCTTGTCTGCTCCGTGCGCAACAATCATGTCAGGGACGTGCAAAATAAGATGAATTAACTAATCACATAGATCATCATAAATGATTTTTTATTTAAATAATGATCAAGCATATAGGAAGGATGGCTGGAACTTTCTATGTGTTAGATATCAATGAATGAATGCTTAATTAAATTATAATATTGATACTCTAAGATAATACATGCTAAACATATCACTTCTTGAGTTGGAATGCTGGAGTAGGAAGAGACATGGCATAGACATTCCTAGGGAAACATATAGATCCAATCGAAATCATGTTATCCCTTTGGCTAGTGATTGTAGTGGATGAAATTCCATGTCCCCTTCCTCAACCAACACTATATTAAGCATACGCATATGCAAAAAACTCATCAATCACAATAATACATAACTACAAAGTCTTCTCTTCTATTTTCTCTCAATTTCTCAAACAGCTTCCCCTCAAGGCCACACCTGATCGCTCAAGAAGTTGATGAACTTTTGTGCAGATTGAGGTCTTCCGATGCCACCTCTACATCATCATCAATTAGCCGCAAGCTAAATGGTTTACAAGATTTGCAAGATTGTGTTTATAGGTTGCTTTGCCCCTCACTCAGCAAGCCTTAGCCCAAGAGCAGAACGAGAAATGGACTAACGAGCTATTAGATGGCTCTATCAGACTGTTGGATGCTTGTGCCACTGCCAAGGACGTCGTCTTGCAAACCAAGGAATGCATATTGGATCTTCAATCAACCTTACGAAGAACACGAGGGGGTGAATCAGGAGCTCTCACAAGTGAGGCTAACAAATCTCTAAGCTCCAAGAAGATTGTGGAAAAGGCAATACGAAAGGCTTTGAAGAATCTTAAGGGCATCGAAAACCGATCCACCTACTCTGCCCTCAACAAGGACCAAGAGGCTATTGTCATTGTCAGCAAGTTGAGAGATGTTGAAGCAGTCACCGTCATGGTGCTTGAATCAGTACTGTCATTCGTCTCCTGGCCAAAGTCAAAGCCAAGCAGCTGGTCATTGGTCTCCAAGACGATGTGTTTGGGATAAAATCTGAACTTTGGGCCAGAGAGAAAGTCGGCCCAAACCCAAAGCCCAGAGGAAAACTTAGGAGGCAGGAAAGAGGCTTTCGGCTGGGCACAAGTTACAAAGGCCACCTGCTTACCTGCTCAAAGACCACAGGGGGTAGGTTATTCAGTCACTACACAGCCCAATAAAGTACTTTATTGGTGGCATTCATGTAAAAAAGCTAGTGAGTCATCACCAAACCGCATTCGGGCAACCGCTATTGCTACAGGAACCCAAGCTGAAGTCGTCTATAAAAGGAGGAAGAGAAGACAGAATTAAGGACACTCAAACAAACAAACAAAAGCCAAAACTCTGCTCAAGCCAGATTTGCCTTCAACGAAGCTGTAGTCAGCACAAGCCTTCATCCCATTCGGGATAAACCTTCCCAAACCCCTGTAATAGCTCTGCTACCTTGTTCATGGTGGTATCGATTCATTTTGTATCCTCTTCTCCCCCGTCAACCCCTCTAAAAGCTTTCAGACCTCTGACAGAGCCACAAAGATAGATTTTGTAAGAAGTTCAGCCTTGGCCGATAAGGTTCAAACTTACCCGACTATCTTTGCTCTGTCTTTGTCTTTTCTTTCTTTTAAAAGCACAATAACATGTTATAGATTCCCAGTTATATACAAGTTATTTCTAGCAAAGTCATAATGAAAATGAGTCTTCAGCACTTGGATCCGATCTGAATCGTGTGTCAGAGTTCAAATCAGATCTAAGTCTTAAGCCCGGCGGGCGTGTAATTTAAAGATCAGTTTTAAAAGTCCTTGGCCTCAAGGCATAAAAAAGAACTCTATGTGGACTCAACCCATCCACGACAATCCTTGATAAGCGAGAAGTCCGAAGTTACTTGGGGCGCAAGTAATCAATCTATTTCTCCGTTTTGTTGCTATTATATCTTGATTCGTAGAAAAGGCTTAAGCAGGGAGTGAATTCTGATAGAAAGCCTCAAGGCCTACACCTAAGGCCCCACGAAGGCATCTATTTAGCTTCATTTCATGTTGTGGTCTAGTTGGTCCGAGTATAAGGATTAACTCTGATGGGAAGCCTCAAGGCCTATACCTAAGGCCCTACAAAGGCACTCATTTGGGTTCGTCCTACCTCTTGGATTCAGATAATCAAAAGTATAATAGTGATAAGACTCTGGCAACCATAAAAAGACCAAATATGATACATCCAAGCGCTGGTTTAGTTTGACAGGAAGCCTCAAGGCCTATACCTAAGGCCTCATAAAGGCACCTGTTATATCTAACTTGGTTTCTCGGGCGTATACATATTCAATCAAAGCTTAACACCCATTCAACATCTACCATACTGAAGATGGCAGTGGCACGCCTGAGCACGACAAAGTTAATCTTGATTGTGAGCCTTAAGGCCTACATCTAAGGCCCCACAAAGGCACCCTTTCAAATTAACTCTGTCCTTCTCTTTCAGAACTGCCCGACGAGCCTTGCCCGAAGTGTGTCTTGCCCGACCAAGATCTGCCCGACAAAGGCTTGCCCGAACGAGCCCGAGAAGAAAGCAGAAGTACGACAGATACCCTCAACCGACGCCATTCTCCCAGGGGAGCTGTGTGCTCGTCCGCCAGGAGATTCTTGCGACGAACACGATGCACTCGAAAAAAGTCGCTAGTGACGAAGAAACAGAAATAAATGAATTTGCTGAAGCGGATGTTGCATTCTGAAGAGCAAGTTACTGTTGTAAAATAATCTAGTAAAAGCTAGCTTTAGTAAAAGTTGGTTAGTTGTTAGAATAGTTACCACTGTAACTATTTTCTTTACCTGTGTAAATCTAGGTTATATATATGCCTCAGTGTAACTAATTATTTATAATTCAATTAATGAAATGAAATCATTTCTCAATATGGTATCTCTCGACTAAGTCCACCATCTCCGATCCTCTTTGGCTATTTTCTTGCTTATTTTCCTACCTACCAAACACCATAGCTTCCGTCTGCAAACCTTCAATCTTGTTCATCAATGGCAACAAATTCTTCTAATTCTTCCTCTCCAGTGGCCGCACAAGCTGCTTCTTCTCCGGTGATCGCGAATCCTTCTTCTTCGTTGCCTACTAATCTCAATTTTTCTCCGATGAACACAAACCTTAACTCCTCCGTTCAAGCTTCAATCAACTCCATCATGATCCAAAACATCGGGAGTATGATTCAAACAAAACTCAAGCGTCATAATTACCTTGTTTGGCGTTCTCTGTTCGAGCCGATCTTTTGCCGCTACAAGCTAACTGGCATCGTTGATGGATCTGAACCGCCACTACCTCAATTTCTTACTGATATTTCTGGAAATCTGTCCTTGATTCCGAATCCAGCCTTTGAGATTTGGTATGAAAAGGATCAAAACATCATCATTTGGATCAATTCCACTCTCTCTAAGGATTTGATTCCTTTTACTGTTGGTGTTCAATTAGTGCGTGAACTTTGGAAAAATCTTGAAAAGCGATTTGGTGGAGTCTCTCGTTCTCACATTCATCAATTGAGATCGAATTTGCTATCGATGTCAAAAGGAACTTCCACAATCTCTGAATATTTGCAACACCTCAAAGAAATTATAGATGCTCTCGTTACTACCGGTGCACCAGTTGATGATTCAGATCTCCTTCACCTCATTCTTAATGGATTGCCTGATGAATATGATTCCTTCGTGGATTCCATTCAATTTCGTCTTGCTGATACTAATATTGATGATTTACATGGATTTCTTCTCAGCAAAGAAATGGCTCTTGCTCGTCGAAAGCAAACTCAAGGTTCCTCTGAACCGTATCAGGCCTTCACCTCTATTCCAGCAGCTTCAAATGCTCCTCCTTTGCTTCCTACACCTCAACAGCCTCAAGCATACAATACTCAATCTAATGCTTCTCAAAATTCTTACAATAGCAATAATCAAGGTAATTTTCAGCGGAACAACTCTCAGAGGAACTACAACAACCATAATCGATACAATCGGTACAATAATACCTCAACCGACCGTGGTGGAAATCGAGGTGGAAATCGTGGCTTCAGATCTTTCAACTCTGTAGTAATTCCATGTCAAATTTGTGAGGACACTGGACATCTTGCTATTGATTGTTCCAACCGCATGAATCCAAATTTTCAAAGGCGTGTTTCGCCGGCTAAACTTGCGATGTATGCATCTTCCAACACTTCTTCTCCTCCACCATGGCTACTTGATTCCGGAGCAAGCTCTCATATAACCAACAATATTCAAAATCTTCAGAATCTGCAGCCCTATACTGTTCCAAATTAAGTTTATATAAAAGATGGCCAAGGTTTGCCAATTCTCCATACTAGTTCTAATTTACTTAAAACACCCTCTTCAAACTTTCAATTAAAGAATGTGTTACATGTTCCACAATTGAAGCATGATCTTCTTTCTGCCAAAATATTTTTGCATGATAATTGGTGTTCATTAACCCTAAATCCCTTTTACTTCAATGTCAAGGATCTTACTACAGGGAGGATGCTTTTTAGAGCTCCTGTCAGCTGTGGTCTCTATCCATTTTATGCATCTTCTGCAACAAAGGTTCATGCTCATTCTACAATAAGGATCTCCTCTCATGTTTGGCATCAACGTTTGGGACATCCAACGTTTAAGAATTTTTGGTCACTGCTATCAAAGTCTACACTGCCTATTTCTAATATTGTTCAACAATTTTTCTGCTCAAATTGTGTTTTAGGCAAATGTGCCAAGTTACCATTTCATGAATTTCTCTGTACTACTTCTAGGTCTCTAGAATTAGTTCATGCGGATGTTTGGGGGCCAACTCCAGTATGCTCTGTTAGTGGCTATTGCTTTTATGTCATATTTGTAGATGATTTTACCAAATACTTGGTTGTATCCTCTCAAACATAAATCAGGTGTGTTTCACATTTTTGTGCAATTTCAAGCTCTTGTTGAGAATCTTTCTGGACACAAGATTGGCACTTTAAGGTCAGACTCAGGGGGTGAGTTTATCAGTTCTGAATTCAAGCATCATCTATCTTTACATGGCATTCAGTAGCAATTAAGTTGTCCATTCACTCCTCAGCAAAATGGTTGTGCTGAAAGAAAGCACAAAAACATTGTTGAGACTGCTCGAACTCTTCTCATTGCATCACAAGGTCCTCATAAATTATGGGTTGAAGCTTTTCTTACTGCAGTGTATCTTATTAATCGCCTACCTCCAATCAACACGTCCTCTTTTTGGGAACAATTTTTCAAAAAGTTCCAGATTACAATTCTTTCCGGGTCTTTGGATATCAATGTTTTCCTTGGCTGAAACCATACACCAAATCCAAGTTAGAACCTAAAAGCAAGATGTGTGTTTTCATTGGCTACAGTTTAGCTCATAAGGGTTATAGATGTCTAGATCCCTTTACTAATCAGGTTTATCTCTCTAGACATGTCCATTTCGATGAACAAACTATTCTCTTTCATGATCCACATCTTCTTAAATCCTCCACTCCAAATACCACGGAAATTTACTCACCTTTTTCACTCACATTCCCCAATCTTTATTCTCTTAATCCTAATAATTCCCCTGTTACAACACCCATACATTCTTCACCTACTCAACCTGAGCAAGTTTCTTCTCCTACATCTTTTACTGCACCTACTCAATCTTCCTGACCCTAATCTTCTCCTATACAAGTCCCTCATTCTCCAAACCCTGAACCACATCTTGTACCTCTTGTTTCATCTGTTCACCCGATGCAAACATGATCCAAGTCAAGGATACACAAACCTAAGGCATTTATTGCCACAGAACATCATGTGCCATCTCATTTAGACAATGAGTTTATTCCCACTACTTATATCCAAGCTTCAAAACATCCTCAGTGGAGGTCTGCAATGCAAGATGAATTCAATGCTTTACAAAATACCGGAACTTGGCAGCTTGTTCCCTCTACCTCCAATCATAATTTAGTTGGATGTAAATGGGTTTTCCGGATTAAGAGGAAACCAGATGGCTCTGTGGATCGCTACAAGGCT